GGACCAACCCGGCAGCACCCCAGCTGCTCTACCCCAGGTGTCCCCAAGTCAGCTGCTGCTGAAACTGATCAGCGGCTGATTCCAGGAAGCCCGGGGCAGAGCAACTCTGCCTCGGGCTTCCTGAAGTCAGCCGCTGGTCAGTTTCAGCAGCGGCTGAATCTGGACGCCAGTTCCGACTTACGTACAAATTCAACTTAAGAACAAACCTACAGTCCCTATCTTGTACGTAACCCGGGGACTGCCTGTACTGTACTTTTCTGTACTCTTTCCTAATGGATCAAAGATTCTTTTACTATGCTTGCTACACTGCCTCCGCTATCCAGCACAGACTCTGCTTCAGCCATGAACTTAAACCCTCTTCTTCCAGGACTTGCAACTCAGAGAGGCAAGATTTTACATGATACAAATGTTGAAGACAAAGAAATTCTTAACTCATCTTTTGCATTACCATCATATGCCAGTGCTATTTTGAACACAGTAACAAAGAAAGGGCTGGTTATGACTGAGAGACTCTGTTTAGACTTACTGTTTTGTCTTCTCTGAAAAGCCATCCTGTTTGGGCACGTGTGAAGGTAATTGATTTGGTTGATAATGTGGCTGAATAAATATCACTGCTCATCAAAATGTCAACTTCCTCTTCTGTTTCCATTTCAGATTCCTGAAACAAAAGAAATCCTAATATACTGAAAAGTACTTATTATTTTAACCTTTATCATTTTTAAAAGCAGACCATGCATGAATAAGACTTATGATTTAATTGGACAATTTTTCTCCCTCAGAAAATTATGAATGCTTCAAGAACAAATTATTTCAATAGCAATATTCAAAAAATGGCATACAACAATGGTCTGGTAATACAACTGGTATTATAGAAGGAGACAAATGGTTTGAAACTGCCAGCCAAGTGCACTAGTAGTTTAGTATACAGGATACAGTCTCACCTAATTTAATGCCACTCAAGGGACATAAGAACCACCATACTGAGTCAGACCAAAGATCCATCTAGCCCAGTATCCTGTCTTCCAACAGTGGCCAATGCCAGATGCCCCAGAGGGAGTGAACAGAACAGGAAATCGTCACGTGTTCCTTCTCCTGTCATCCATTTCCAGCCTCTGACAAACAGAAGCTAGGGACACCATTCCTACCCATCTTGGCTAATAGCCACTGATGGACTTAAATTCATGGGGGTTATCAAGTTCTTTTTTGAACCCTGTTAAATTCCTGATCTTCAAAACGTCCTCTGGCAAGGAGTTCTACTGGCTGATTGAGTGCTGTGTGGGAAAGGAAAAAAAAAACCACCTTCCTTTTGTTTTAAACCTGTTACATATTAATTTCATTTGGTGACCCCTAGTTCTTATTTTATAGGAATAAGTCAGTAACTTTTCCTTATTCACTCCCTCCATACTGTCATGATTTTACTACCTCTATCAAATCCCCTCCTGTCTCCTCTTTTCCAAGATGAGAAGTCCCAGTCTTTCTAATCTCTCTTCACATGGCACCCATTCCAAACGCCTAATCATTTTTGTTGCCCTTTTCTGAACCTTTTCCAAAGCCAATATATCTTTTTTGAGATGAGGAGACCACATCTGTACACAGTATTCAAGATGTGGGCATATGCAGTATTTAAGGTGAGAGGCAACAAGTCATTCTCTATCCCTTTATTAATGATTCCTAACGTACCATTTACTTTTTTGACCGCCACTCCACACTGAGTAGATGTTTTCAGAGAACTATCCACAATGACTCCAGATATCTGTCTTCAGTAGTTATAGTTAAATTAGTCCCACATATATTGCATGTATAGTTGGGATTTTTCCCCCAATGTGCATAACTTTAGATTTATCAACATTAAATTTCATTTGCCATTTTGTTGCCCAATCACTTAGTTTGGTGAAATCCTTTTGAAACTCTCAGTCTGCTTTGATCTTAATTAACTTAAGCAGTTTAGTATCATCTGCAAATTTTGCCACCTGGCTGTTTACCCCATTCTCTAGATCATTTATACAAGTTGAATAGGATTGGTCCCAGTATGGACCCTTGGGGGAAAACCGCTAGTTACCGCTCTCCATTCCAAAAACTTACCATTTATTCCTACCCTTTGTTGCTTGTCTTTTAATCAGTTATCAATCCACAAGATGACCTTCTCTCTTATCTCATGACAACTTACTCCCTCCTTGGTGAGGGACCTTGTCAAAGGCTTTCTGGAAATCTAAGTACACTATATCCATTGCGTCCCTCTTGTCCATATGTTTGTCAAAGAACTCTAACAGATCAGTAAGGCATGATTTCCTTTTACAGAAACCATGTTGACTTCCTCCCAACAAATTACGTTCATCTGTGTGTCTGGCAATTTTATTATTTGCTGTTGTTTCAACTAATTTGCCTGGAACTGACATTAGACTTACCGGTCTGTAATTACCAGGATCACCACTAGAGCACTTTTTAAACATTGGTGTCACACTATCTTCCAGTCATTAGGTACTTACATAGGTTACACATGACTTAAATAGGTTACAAAGCACAGTTAACAGTACACAATTTCATATAAGAATTCTTTCAGAAGTCTTGAATGAATGCTGTCCGGTTCCAGTGACTTATTACTGTTAAGTTGATCACTTTGTTCAAAGACCTCCTTTAATGACACCTCAATCTGGGACAATTCCTCAGATTTGTCACCTAAAAAGAATGGTTCACATTTGGGAATCTCCCTAACATCCTCAGCTGTGAAGACCAAAGCAAAGAATTAATTTAGTTTCTCTGCAATGACTTTGTCTTTGAGTGCTCCTTTGCAAATTTAATATTCATTATATTACCAATGTCAAAAGAGAGTCACACACAGTTTGGTGCTATAACAAAACAAAAAAAACCTCAAATAGCACTGCTAGTACCTAACTTCAATGGTTGACCTTTGACAAGGTCCCCCACCAAAGGCATTTAAGTAAAATAAGTTGTCATGGGATAAGAGAGAAGGTCATCTGTAAACACTTGGAAAGTGGCAAGGTGATAGGGAACAGCCAGCATGGATTTGTAAAGAACAAATCATGTAAAACCAATCTGACAGCTTTCTTTAATAGGATAACGAGTCTTGTGGATAAGGGAGAAGCAGTGGATGTGGTATACCTTACTAAAGTCTAAGTGTTTGATACAGTCTCACATGATATTCTTATCAATAAACTAGGTAAATACAACTTAGAAGGAGCTACTATAAGGTGGGTGCATAACTGGCTGGATAACCGTACTCAGAGAGTAGTTATTAATGGTTCACAATCCTTCTGGAAAGGCATAACAAGTGAGGTTCTGCAAGGGTCTGTTTTGGGATTGGCTCTGTTCAATATCTTCATCAATGATTTAGAGATTGGTATAGAAAGTACACTTATTAATTTTGCAGATGATACCAAGCTGGGAGGGGTTGCGACTGCTCTGGAAGATAGGGTCATAATTCAAAATGACCTGGACAAATTGGAGAAATGGTCTGAGGTAAATTGGATGAAGTTTAATAAAGACAAATGCAAAGTGCTCCACTTAGGAAAGAGCAATCAGTTTCATACATACAGAATGGGAAGCGACTGTCTGGGAAGGAGTACGGCAGAAAAGGATCTAGGGGTATAGTGGACCACAAGTTGAATATGAGTCAGCAGTGTGATGCTGTTGCAAAGAAAGCAAACATGATTCTGGGATGCATCAACAGGTGTATTGTGAGCAAGACACGAGAAGTCATTCTTCCACTCTACTCTGTGCTGGTTAGGCCTCAATTGGAGTAGTGTGTTCAGTTCTGGGCACCACATTTCAAGAAAAATGGATAAATTGGAGAGCATTCAGAGAAGAGCAACGAGAATGATTAAAGGTCTACAGAACATGACCTATGAGGGAAGGCTGAAGGAACTGGGCTTGTTTAGTTTAGAAAAGAGAAGATTGAGGGGGGACATGATAGCAGTTTCCAGATATCTAAAAGGGTGTCATAAGGAGGAGGGAGAAAACTTGTTCATCTTGGCCACTGGGGATAGAAAAAGAAGCAATGGGCTTAAACTGCAGAAAGGGAGGTTTAGGCTGAACATTAGGAAAAAGTTCCTAACTGTCAGGGTAGTCAAACACTGGAATAAATTGCCCAGGGAGGTTGTGGAATCTTCATCTGTGAAGATATTTAAAAGTAGGTTAGATAAATGTCTATCAGGGATGGTCTAGACCCGTGGTCCCCAACACGGTGCCCGCGGGAGCCATGGCGCCTGCCAGGTGCTCGGGGCTGGCCTGGCCCCGGGCACATGGCGCACGGGCGCTTGCAGGGGGAGCGCGCTTGGCGGGGGGAGCGCCGGGCGCGCGGCACTGGGCGGGGGGGAGCGCTGGCCCTGGGCGTGCGGCACTTGGAGGGGGCGCCGGCCCCGGGCGCGTGGCACTTGGGGGGGGGCAGGTCCCCGCGCCCCGGGTGCACAGCTATGGGGGGCGCCAGCCCCGGGAGAACGGCAAAGTGCCACCCGTGCCCTGGGTACGCGGCACACGGACAGCGCAGGCCCCAGGCGCATGGCAAATTGGCATCCCCTCCCCCGGGCATGCAACTATGGAGGGGTGAGTTGCCGGCTTTGGGCACGTGGCTCTGCAGGACGCTGTCCCCAGCCCGCGCCCCGGGTGCACAGCTATGGGGGGCGCCAGCCCCGGGAGAACGGCAAAGTGCCACCCGTGCCCTGGGTACGCGGCACACGGACAGCGCAGGCCCCAGGCGCATGGCAAATTGGCATCCCCTCCCCCGGGCATGCAACTATGGAGGGGTGAGTTGCCGGCTTTGGGCACGTGGCTCTGCAGGACGCTGTCCCCAGGATTGCTGCAAATGGGCAGCCCCATGGTGCATAAGGTTGCTGGCCCCAAGCACGTGGCTCATGGGGGTGTGGCGTATGTGTGGCCCCGCCCCCAGGAACACGAGTTTCCCCGCCCTCTGGCACCCGGCAGGCTAACGGCCACGTCCCCTGGTACCCAGCAGCTTAAAATGGTTGGGGACCACTGGTCTAGACAAGTATTTGGTCCTGCCATGAGGGCAGGGGACTGGACTCGATAACCTCTTGAGGTCCCTTCCAGTCCTAGTATTGTATGATTCTATGAGGTGATGTGCTTACAAACTCTGCTCCAATTGTTCTCTGTTTCCAGGGAAAGGGACAGGTAACTAAAACCTATCAAGACACTTTAAAGTTATTATTTGAAAGCACTTTACCCCACGTTGTTGATGTTTACATCACCATCCATATAAACAGAAGCAAATTTGGTGGCTGAACTAAAAGCCAATTTCAAGATCACCATTTTAATTTAAAAAATGACCTATTTGCTTGCGCAGAAATGTTAACATATTTTTAGTTTCTTTTTTAATTTGCTATTTTAAAATCAGTATCTTTCCAGAAATGTAGTTATGTTGGATTACCACATTCCTACACAAGCACTAATACACCAAAACATCAGGGCTGCATCTACACTGGCATGATTTTGCGCAAATACTTTTAACAGAAAAACTCTTCCGTTAAAAGTATTTGCGCAAGACAGCGTCTATACTGGCATGTGCCTTTGTACTTACAGACTGATCAAGTCACTTTTTAACCTTCTATTTGTTTAAAACAGAATGCTTTAAGAGTGCAACTACGACGCATATTTTCTAATTCTTTAATATTCTCATAGCCATTCTCCAAATCCTCTCCAATTTATCTTCAACATCCTTCCTGAATTGGGAACACTAGAACTGGTAACATTATTCCAGCAGCAGTTGCATAAATCTGTGCCAAATAAAAATGCAACCTACTTCTACTTGAGTCCCCTGTTTACATTTTTAAGGATACTATTCATTCTTTTAGACACCATGTATTACTGGAAGCTCATACCATTCACCATGATACTCAAATCTTTCAGAGTCAAGACTTCCCAAGACAGCATGTCTCCACTCTATAAGCATGGCCTATATTCTTGGTTCCTGGATGTATGACCTTACTTTGGGCATATTAAAAACACAGTTTGTTTGGGCCCACTTCACCAAGCAATTCCGTTCACTCTCCCTGACCTGTCCTCTTCATTATTTATCAACCCTTCCAACCATTTTGGCATTTGAAAGATTTCCTTGTAAAAGGATTACCTCATTGTTATTACTTGAGCCACATTTGGGTACAGAACCGGACTTTTTACCAGAATACACATTTATGTAAGTATTTCATTAGTATTGATGATCTATACATATAAAGTAATGTGTTTAACATCATGTATATATGCAGCTGCTCACCTCATGATGTATTCGCTGGTAAACTTTCTGTTCGTTGTCTAAGACTACAAAAGATTCAGAGGGTGCTGCATCACCATTGAAAATGAAGCTTAAATCCCCTCGTTGGCACTTCATGTCAGTAAAATCTATTAAAGTTGTGTCAAGCCTGTGGAAATATACCCGTGGTAAAGCAACTTTGCAAAAGTAGTTATCCAGAACTGTTCAAATGCACAAAAGAGTTCAATTAATATCAAGAGCGTTGTTTTTTTTTTCCAAAACTGACAGTGAAGTCACATTTTCACTGTGTTTTAATGTAATTATTATTGCAAATTTCACTTAAATAGGCCATCAACTGCTTTTTGCTTACACGACTAACTCCAAATGTAGTAATATTGTCTGAATAAATGCAAACTAACAAGTTGTGGCACAAATCCATAGGAAAATGCATGGGGATTCAATTATATGAATGGAGTAAAATGTACAAGACTTAGTACATCACAAATAGTTATATGGATCTTAATGTTACTTTTGTGACAAATAATAATTCTTTCCCTTCATACTGTATCAATATAGCAGAATTAGAAAAGAAAAAGGTTTTAAGAAAAGTTGCCACTGCATCCTTTTGTCCCCAAAACTTCATAGTATCAGGATACTGACTGATTTTATCTAGCATACATATACACTGCAGGGAACTTTCCTACACATAAGCAGCCACATTCTGGGTACGTCTAGACTGCAGAGGTTTCTCCGGGATACTGGAGGTATCAGCTGTATGCTTGGCACAAATCCACAGGCAAAAACAGACTAGGGAAGAGATATTCAAACAATCCACCAACTTGGACAGGGAGCATGTAAGTGAATGGAGGGATATGCTGCTGAAGGAGATGCCAACAAAGCATGAGGAAAGGAGAGCACACAGGGAACTGTAAGTGAAGCACCAGGAGAGAACCTTGACATTCACAGCAGCTTTCCAGGGCATCTATAGGAGCCCCCTGAAGCCCTTGTGGACCAACATACCCTCCTCCCCAGGTTCCATAGCCTCCTCTCCCAGGCACCCTAGAACAAGGACAAGGGGGAGAGGGGGAGGGGGAGAGTCAAGGAAAGCCTCACTCAACCTCCAGGGAGGCATCACAAAGCAAAAGGCTGTCCTTGCAATTGTGATCATCTACCTCCCCCAAAGCTCCCACCCTGGACTATTGTTCTGTCTCTGCTATGTTTCTTAAATAAAAACATGATTTCTCAAAAACAGTCTCTCTATTGCTTGCGTTGAAGAGGAGAGAGGTTACAGGTAAGCACACTGAATGCAAGGGTACCTCCTTGAGAGAAACATGCATGACTCTCAAAATTGGCCATACATAAAACTGTCTGTCAAAGCTTCTCGGATTTGTATTGCCCCTCACTCTGCTCTCCTTATTGTCTGGCTGCCCAAAATCTCTGATTAGGTGATCTGCCTCATCCCCCCTCCACCTCCCAACATTCTGTCAGACACTTTTGTCAGATCAAACCCAGAATGCAGAGAGGTACAGGCACTGTGGGATAGCTACCCACACTGCATCACTCTCAAAGTTGATGGTTGCCATCCTACTGGGTACATGCTACTTAGAACACGTTGAATTCTTATGCACAGAAGGTGCATGCACCTTCAGCTTTACAAAATCAGGTACTAAAAATAGTGGACCCTAATAAATTCAACCTCATCTCATACTATAGACATGGGTCTCAGACATGAATGTGTTACATGATAGGTACAACTGAACTATGTGTTTCTGTAAATGTCTCAGTAAGAAAGTCATCAAAATTCATTGTCCCAACAACTTGAATTTAAGTTAATGGTCACGGTGTCCAGTTAAGTTTCAGAGGCACTTTTTGTTAGTCAAGAGCATCACCTAAGAAAACCAACTTTAACACCTAGAAGAACAGAAAGCTGTATTCCAATTAACAAGAATATCAGAAAACACATATTACAAATATTATAAAAACACATTAGGCGCCTTTGGAAGTATTCATAGAATTGAATTAAATAAGAATTTAGAATCTAAAAGGCAACAAATGGTAAAGATTTATTCAGATATGTAGGGCACATTTTGCCAAAAAGATGTTTTCACTACAGTGTTCTCTGATGCTTTGTCACTTGAAACTGGATGGAACAAATTATAATGCACTTCACCCACATCCCACAAAATACAGTTATGAAGTATGTCTCCCTATTTACTGATTTTCCTTAACTAAGTTTCTTCCCTTAATTTTATCCTGTTAACCAATATCTATCTCAGAGGCATGATTTGGAGTAAGTAAATTTAACAGCGATATCCCATTTTTTGAGATTAAAATAATTGTAAATGCTTATTTGATTCATTTCCATAAAGACCCCTGAAACCTAACCATTATACAATCAAAGCAAATTTTAATTTAAAACAAAACTAAACCTTTACAACTAGCTTAGAATGCAGTTCTTGGTTATTTTCAAGGAAGTTTTATTCTGGAAAATAAAATAAGAAAGGATCTTTTTTAAAGGGACAATGTGCAATTCAAACTCCCTAACGCTACACTTTAAAAAAAAAGCATGCAAACACAAAACTGTTTCAGAAAGCTCTAGAGGCTTGAGCCATTTATGGCCTTCAAACCAGAACAAGAAGTGATATTTCAGTTATATTGTTAGAATTCAGTAACAAACATTTGGCTTTAGCTTAAGTTTATAGTCAGCACAAATCCGTACTTACCTGATATTTATACCTTGCTTGTATATTTTACATGCATCAGAAGGCAGAATTCGAGAAAGTAAAGGCACTACATGTAAAAGAAAAGTATTAATACTTAAGATCTAAGAAATATAAGTACTTTGCATGACATGACCCTCTCAGCAATATACTTTTTTTTTTTATAAAAACACAGAAATTTAATTCATCTTCAAGTATTGCTGTACTTTAAGCATAAGCTGCCCATTTACATTTTTATTGAAACTGTACCTAAATTATGGAAAAAATCGTGCTGCAATCAATTATTGAAAAATGAACAAATGCCCTGTAGTTAGATTGCCTACTGCATCCTAC